GGCGTCCACAGGGCCCGTGCGCAGCGCCTGCTCCCTCCCGCGAGCGCCTCGGTCAGAACTTGCGTGGCAGGAGGTGGTGTGTGGGGGACCAGCCCCGCAACCGCAGGGATCCAAGGGGCGGTTGTGTCATTGAGGGGTGAAGTTAAAGAGACATCAGACAAGATCAGGCATGCGATCGCTCACCTCCCGGATGGCATCCCAGCAGCCAGGTCCACGCAGAGAGGGATTATGTTTCCATTCAGGGCTTTGCTTTACATCCACCCCAGGGATGTGCAAGCCCCCTAATGACATCGTAACAGGAAGGGGTTCTACCACACGCATACCTGCAGCAGGAGGGGGACGAGCTAGGGGGGCACCCGCCATAGGAAGGGGAGGCGCTAGGTGTGCATGTGACAAGATGGGCAGACTCAAATGGCAGCCTAACTTTGGTCCTCCCTGAGTTGGCTTGACCTTGTCTTTAGGGGAACAATCCATTATCGTTGACCTTGTCTTCAGGGGAACAATCCATTATCCTTATCAGAAGGGAGTGGGCCTTGGCTAGGGTGGGACAGACTGTAGGGTCTTGATTGCTCTAGATGGCTGGTAACCCTCAGGGAGATAACTTTTAAGCAGTTGACCTCCAAGGGTATAGCCATTGAACATGTGTTTTCAAGCAGCATCTTAGGTTTGGCGTATAATGTGGGGGGACCACCTGGGGAATGACCTTTCTGTATCCCACAGTGGTGGTGGTTCAGCTCAGTGCCCAAGGACAGGCCCTTGCCGCTGTTGGAGGAGACCCACCCCCTTTCCAGCCACGTGCTTCTGCCTTTTCTTCGGTGTCATTGGCTGGTGGGCAGTATTTGACCACGGATCCTTGGTGGCACAGTGGTTAAGTGCTTGGGTGCTAACCAAGGGATCAGCAGTTCAAGCCCACCCCGTGGTTCTCCCCGGGATTCGCACCTGTCAGGGTGACGGCCAAGGACACCCCACGGGCAGCTTTCTGTCCCGCAGGGGCACCTTGAGGCAGATTCTGCTTGACGGCCACTCCCTCAGCTAGGTGCTCAGCGACACCCACCACCAGGAGTCTCTGCAGGACAATGATAGCTCGGTGCCATCAGCTAGGCTGGCTTACCCTAGCCTGGGCGCCACCCCGCTTCCCAAGTGACTGGGCACCAGTGATCACCTCTCTGCCGGTCTTCCCCTCTCTGGTCTCTGGTTTCCCTCTGGGGCAGTAAAGCAGCCAGTGCTGTGGAGGGACAGTCTCTATAGTGTCTGGAGGGCCAGCGGCCAGTATGCAGACCACCGGGGTAGGTGGTGAGATGACGGGAGGAGGAGGAGCCGGGCGGGGGGTGGGGCAGCCTCCTCTGCCCGCTCTGCAGGGCAGGGACTTAGTTGAATGGCACCCGTTTGCTGGGCGAGGAAAGCGAGGCTCAGAATGCCCGGTGGCTCCTCATGGGTGAAGTGGGGCTCTCTCCTGGCCAGTGTGGTCCCGAGTCT